ATCACCATATTATAGTTGTTTTGCTTTATGGTATATAAAAGTCGGATTTTGAATAGAAATGGATTTATTACTGGTTAAAGTTAGTTTTTTTATTTTCTTTGTTTGGTATTGTCACAATGGTGGTTTCTATGGTTAGTGGCATTGTTTCTTTGTTGATTAATTATCGCTTGCAAGTGAGCTTGTTTGTGGAGTGTTTTTGCATCCTTGTGTGTTTTATATACTATCTACTAAGAGCACCTTTTTTCCATTTATTTCTTGATTACTGGAGGCTACGTTTACATTAATTCCAGTTAGTACTTTATCACAGTCTTCCACTTTATTGGCAGTAAGTAATTGGTCCTTCCTTTGTTGTGTGTTAAGTTATTGATAAACATTTATTCCTTTATTGCTATATTTATTTGTGACTTGTATACTATAGGTTTTAAGGATCTTCATAAGTTAGTGGCTGTATTTGTTAGTAATAATATGACTTAATCTTTTTTTCTTTTTCGGTGCTCTTATTTGAGCAGAATGCTTTTATTATGTCATGGCATAGTTAAATTTAGTATGCTTATTGGTATGCTTATTTTTAGGTCAATACACATGTCCCTTGGTCAAGCAAGGGATCAAAATCTACTTTAGGTACTGTTCGCTTTTCCGAAGAGGATTGTTTACAATTAGTATGACTCCCTGATTGTGGATAGCACATTGACCGACTATAATACATGCTTAAACTCTTGGTAGCAGCCGTGCCCTAATTTATATCCCTATCTTACTACTACCAATGCTACTACTATTAATATGATTGATAATAAATTAGTACTTTGGCTTAAGCCCCGAGCAAATAAAATCTTAATTTATTATCACCGCATTTTCCTTCCATTCATCACTGGCTTCAGGTGAATTTGGACTCAAAAACACGTCTCCAAACAGAGGCTGCATTACCGAACCCCACGACGAGCTTGTTTGACAACGCACAGAAGCGCATCCAGCATCTGATGGAGAAGGACTCATACCGCAGATTCCTCCGCTCAGAGCTCTACATTACTTTGTTAAAACAGGCCAAAACAGCAACCAAAGCCATTGCAGCCGCAGCTCTTGCAGCCTCCCTTCAGGATTCACCCGAAGTTCTCAGCAACCTGAAAGCGAAAAACACAGTATCGTCAACTGTGAGATTTTCTGAGGCTGCAGGTCCAATGACATCCGATCACGAGGTCTCAACTACGTCGCCCCCCAACAGCATCGCAGACAACTCTATTTCAGTCAACAAAGCATCAGGCACCTTCACTCCAATGCCCAATTCGTCAATTCCGATGCCCGGCAGTAACTCTGCCCATTCTGGTGTAGAAGTCCCCCGAGAAGATGCGCTACTTGCAGCGGTTGCTTCGGCGTCGCTGTCCTCGGGGGTATCATCTCGGCTGGGTCAACTGTTACATTCGAGATGGGCGTGGTCGCAGCGTCCCAGGTTGCCCAGTCTGACCAGTGGTCCGACCAGCCTGGCAGGAGTTGCCGCGGCAGCGGCTGATGCTGAAGCAGGCATGAACTGTGTGCAAGACTTGCAGCTTTTAGGACTATCCACTTCGCGGCTGATGCGAACTACACATGCACATGTACTATCCGGTGGCGGTGGCTATGGCAGCGGAAGTGGAGCTGGAAACTTTAACACTTCCGCTTTGCTGAAGAAGACTAGCGCGGTTTCCTTGGCTTACTCAGCTTCAGGAGAGACGATTGGCGAAAATAGGTTCACGACAAGTAGGTAGTTGCACCAAACCGAAGGATTGTTAGATAAACAAAGTGCACAAATCTAGCAACAAAGTTATGCTAACTGAACTGCTAAAATGAAAATAAATAAAACACCATATAAGTAGGAATAAAAAATAATAATACAAAATACATTTAAACTAGACTAATTGAATCTGGGATGGTGAATTGTATACTTTGTGCGATGCGTTATGCACATGTAACCTTCTATAATTTTAAGTCAAAACACAGTGGTGAAAACGAAAGGTCATTATTCAAATAATTTATGAAATTTTGCAGGTAGAAGTAGTTGGATGCATGTATATTTATTCTTTAAATAATAGGTTATAATCTTTTATATTATGTCAGAAGGCTTATAAGAAAGTATGCCTCTTTTTGACGGATTTTTGCAGGACTTTTCTACATGCTTGCTTGAGATTGAGCAATAATCATCAAATATGTAAACCGCTCCAGAAAATATTTGTTTTAAGCAATATTATGGGAAAAAGCGCCTCTAGCTAGTATTTATTTCAGTGGATCATCCTCTTCGCTTAGGATAGACTGGTTTGGAGCTATTCTGATAGCACCCAAACTAAAGTTGGAGATGATAAAATTCTGCTTTTGACTTTTGTACCGAACATTCCGAAACTTTTCCTACTGTCTTATGTGAGTACGCTTGAACATTTTCATTTCACGAGCGGAATTACGCTAATTAAATCATTTAGTTAAGCGACTATATATGAAAAATACATCTATCCTAACATTATGATACAAATGGAGAGCGCGTTTAGTCATCGCCAATTACCAATGCTCTCGAGCTGAAGACTCTAGATATTTAAAGGAAGGTAGAATACTATATTTGTAAACAGAAAATACTGCGAGCCCAGAGAGGTGATCAGAGTGTTTAGTCTAAATACACGAGTTTTCTTATCTTAAGATCACATTTCGCGAAAAGAAATTACTTTTAGTGTATAAAAAGGCTAGAATTCATAGTCGATAGAATTTCTGATCTTCAGATCCCTTATGAGGCGAAATGATGTGAAATAATAGTATTAAGACACAAAATGTTTATATCACTGATGTAATTCATGAAATTTGTTGACATTTGGATGTTTCATTAAAGCCAATTTCATGTCACGAATAAACTTTAATTATGCTTTCCTTCTCATTACTTCTAGGTTCCTCAACTAGTATACATGGAATCAACGCAAAAGGACAAGTTGATACGAAGAAAAATTTATACAAATAAAAAAATGTTGTCCTGCATAGATTCGCATTCACGATACCTGTTTAAAGAATAAGACCAGAATATATTTGGGCCCTATTCTTTATCTACATGCAACTTCCAAAGCATAGAACCATCTTTTATGGTCAATTAAAGTAATGTATATACATATACATAGAGAATTAAATGCCGAATATTTCTGCATACACATTTAATAAATAAGAATCAGTCATGCATTTATATATGCACATATGTGCATATACTTCTTTCTTTCATTATTTCTGATTGTATTTTACATTGCAAAAGTGCCTGTATTCGTCTAGCAATCGACAATGACCATAAGAAGACTGAATGACCTGGAATTG